TTTGTAACGAAATATTCATTGAACCCTTCAAATATTCTTTTGTCATCCATAATTTCTTTACCGATCAACAAAGTTGAAATTCATAAGTGGAGGTATTTCTACATTTCCCTTTCACATCATTGTGAAAGGGAAATAGAGAAAATTACAACAGAAAATATCTTTCCTCAAGGATCCATGGAACATTTAGATGTCGCGTAAGAATCATTATATCTGGAGTGCATGGTATTTAATTAAAACGCTTTATTTCTACATAAATGTGTAAGATCAGCCACTTAGTGTTTTCAGCTAAGAAATGAATTCTCTATGAAAACGTTGTGAACTCTAGCGAAGAGCTGCAAATGCCATTACCTAATTGATTTATCAGTTTATTTCATGAACGATTATCAAAACAGGTTCAGCATAACTAGAATACAACGCAGTTCCATAGATCTTAGAGGATTAAATAAAACAATAGGAAATGATCCAGAAATCAACCCTCACTTGAACGCGGAATTGCTATTACTAGAGGCACTGAGAAAGATGGCTCTATACTTGATTACATTCACCATATTTTGGGTACCATAGTAGTCAGTTTATATGCTCTATGCCTTTTCGGTGCATTTGCAATGCGAATTCTCCACGGTGTTCGTGCTTATTTGCATACATTCAACTGTGCGATTGTCAAAAACGAAACAATCGCAAAACAAGTGCTGAACTGTCAAAGAAGATTATCTTTTTGATGAAATGTTTCTTAACAAAAATCCAAGAAGCATGTCTGAAAAGGCTGCACAAGGTGGCTATGAAATTGATCATTATCATTTCAATATAATCATTAATTGCTGGGCCCAATTGCTATGGGCATTGCGATAATGATATTCAACACCTATTTTATTTAAAACTGCATATATTCGCAAAGATATTCCCTCATCTCATATAAACAGAACGTTATTATGGAATCTCCAAAGTGAAAAACACTACTTATGATTCGATTCACAAATAGGAAATATTTTTTGATTTCTTCTTAGAATTAATTCCCCATCCATTGTTCATTCACTTCAATATAATTCATTTTTCATACAGAAAAATTCAAACAAATACCATCGTCAGTCCAGTCAATGATATTAGTCAAATACCATCAATGCAATCACATGATATTACCTTCACGAAAAATGTCACTCACTCAAAAATGGGGCGATTTATCGTTGCCTCTGGATAGTTGCTGTGATGTAAATGGATAGCTGTTGTTCAGTTGAATATCGTTTATGTTGAATATATAAGTGCTCAAAAACATCAAGTTTCGTTTGCGCAAAACACCATCAAGAAATGTTGTACTTGTTCGTTTCACGTAATTTTTCTCTTATTGACATGCACTTTTTTTCAGCAGTTGTCTAGCGCTTGCGAGTAATCGTGTTATTCGAATCTAATTTTCAGTTACTCAATCACCAACAAATAAATACCTTCTGAGGGAGTGATGACACCATCATGCACGCAAATTTTATGCTTTCCAAGGTCTCACCTCTCGAAAAGATGCCTTTTGCATTGGCAACAACTCACATAAAATTCCTCTTCGGGAAATCAGTTTGGAATGTAACTTAGCCAGATTCAGATTGTCCAACCTAACTTTTCGTCGATGAACTTTCCCGCATATTGTTTCCAGTTAAAGAGACATCATCTCGAAGGAAATATCGAATAAAGCAATAAAATATCGAATTCTCATGCATTATGGTGCCTTAGTCACAAAATCAACTTAATCCAGTTAACTTTCAAGCCATGTTCTTCAGAAAGAAATTTCACAAAAAATGTTTTTAAAGCGGAAGACATGTTTTGTAAACATGCATTTCAGAAATTCACCCTTTCCGCACGCCAAAAATTGTTATCCAGATAAACGTAGTCGTCTGTCTTGGACATGTTCTAGTTTCACTGAAAAGAGCAATTAGTATGAATGAAATATTTGAACTTATTGAATTACCAGTCTTTCCTGTCAACAGATCGTTTTCTCCATAATTGACTAGTACGAAATCTTTCCAGTGATTATGATCAATTGAGAGGAAACTGACTTATGATTAATTAAGTGATTATGATTAATCAGACATTCGTCATCAGCACTAGACCTTTAAAATGATTAAGGTCACAAAAAGTATACACATAAAATGTCGTCGAAGTGTGTCGGAAGAGGCAAACCAGAAAATAGGAAGACATCGTTCACTCGCTGCACTCTCATCGGTCCGATGACGCATACTAAACAGAAGGACGAAGATGCTTTGATAATTGTAAGCATGCTCATAGCATATCGACCACTTATGCACGGTGCGCCGTCAAACTTTTGATACCGTATGGGTCAAATTTGACAAACTCATTCAGATCAAGTGATAATCACCTCAAAAAATGTCTGCTCAAAATTTGACAGCTGAAGAAATCGAACAATTCGGTGCATACTGATCTGTTTTATAGTTTATTTTTCATATTATGAGTGGTAAGCAAATTCTCGTACTGCTCATTAAGAATTAGCTTACAAGAACATTATATAAGTAACAATATTATTTGTTATTCGTTCGTCGTCCGAAGCCAGAACCAGTGGATGGTTCTGTCTTATCATTGTCGTCTTCTGTAACGACTTCAGGTCTTCAATTAAACGACTCTTCGACTACGACTTATGCATTCAAGTTGGGAGAAGCCTAATCAGACTAGAATATTTGGAAGAAATTTTATCATTAAATTGTCAGCCTTTCCTTTGAACATATTTTCCCCATAACTGACTAGTCCATTCGTCAATTTCAGAACTATTATAATCAGCCGTTGCTAGCATCAAAAGAACAGTGATCTCTGATAATAGGATCATTGGATACGTCATCAAAACATCCATGGGATAGGGAAAATAGTTGGATTCATTCAGCGATACACGAAATATTCATTTGTTTACTATGTATCATTCCAGCTAAGAATAACAAATATTGCGTATTTCATCAACACAATTGCATCTTAATTCTGATTTTCTCAGCTTCAACAACTTTCTCCATCTACCACGAAGTTGACAGCTTGAACAAGCTTTGAAACGTCAGCAATGCCATTTCTAGACCGATGAAAACATCTCAACTGAAATTGAACCATGCCGCATTGCACTCAAAATTGCGTCATTTTTCCTCGCGCATAGTCTTCTGTAGCACAGTTTTTCTAGTAATCACTTTTCTCTGCCGCAGAGGCTTTCAGTGACAGATCTGCTCAGATCAAAGCGCTTGAACCCAAATGGTTATGCAAATCTGATGATGAGTTGTATGTTGACCATAACTGCATATGATAGTTCAGATCTGTTAGCAAATTGAACTGAACGTTAAAGATACCGGAGTCGGCATTTATAGGGAACAATGAAGAGCCGGTGCATTTTGACGATGTTTTTCAAGTTATTTTCTCAGACCTATTTTTCACCTCTCAATGCATAACATGCACACTTAATTAGTTCTCATAGCGTTTGATTGATGTCGCACTAGAGCATGCAAATCTTTAACGTATATTATCGAAGAACATTGTAAACATTATCGCGATGCATCTGAAAAATGTTCCCTTGCAGTACGCGTTTGATCACAATATCGTTGTTGTTGTTTGATGCGTGACGAAGTGTTCATGAAAGAGTTAGATTTGATGTGTATCGTTTTTTTTTTCGAAATAGTTTGACTATAAAATTTCAGATATCGACTACGCATAAGACAAGGATTTTAAAAAACTGATCAAAGTTGTTTGACCGCGACAATTCTGATTGCCAACTTCTAGGTGATCGACTGGATTTCTGATGAACAACGCAGCCATGGACAATATCCAACCGCTAGAGGATTGCTTCCAGTTCAAGCCCGAAATTTTGAAGGTGTCATTCGAAAGAGATTTTCAAACTCATTCAAATTTTTATCACGTAATAACTTCCCGAAAAAAAAAAACTTACTTTAGTCCTCTACAATTGAATCAATTCAATTCTTACTTGCGAAAATACACTAAAAGCTAATCAAATATGAAAATCCAAATAAATAACAATCAAAATGAAATAATCAAACTGACACGATAATCGATCACAAACGTTCAGATTGGGTGGGAATCAGTAAAATCAGAGAAAGTAAAAGACCAAGTATATATTGATCATTTCATCATACGTTTGAAACGCATCCTTATCTAGTATATAAGTAACGAAATTTTAACGATTGAGCATGTTGACTAGGCAATATGCACTAGGTTCGACTTTCAACTCACTCCGAGATATTGCATGAAGAAATTTAGTTGGATAGTATGTTTTGTCAATGTGTGGCATTTTTTGAATTCGTCCAAAAATTTAGAAGTAACAGCGGTACTTTTTCGAAACATTTACACCTGAACCTGGGGAGTCACCATGATGTTCAAGGCGAAGGAGAGTGTAGAACGGGGTTGAGTTTTTTCTTGCGTCCCTCTTCTTTCCATTTTCTTCTCCCTTTTTCTACCTCCTCCTTCCACCTTGTCCTCCAGTCTTTAAGATAAGAGGCGCACCTCATGCGCTTCTATCCCCCTTGGCCACACTTCTGACCATAACATTCTTAGCACAAAAGCAAACTCTATAATAGCTAGTATGGTTGAGGCGGTTGAAAATAAATGTGTGTTGGAATAGTAAAAACAACCCCAATTTGCTTATGGTATCAAGCAAAGTATCACGATGGCTCATTTCATTAGTATTTATTGAGTCCGATATTATTGGCTGATTCAATGTGTGGCATTGTAAATTTTAAGAATAGAAAAATACACATTGTGAATTTTAAGAATTTTAATAAGAACTTGGAATTAGCCGTTGAAATAGTTCAACGATTTGCCGGAATATTTACGAGAAATCCAATTAATCCAGCCAGAGTGAGCAACCGTTTCCAAGCACAAAAATTGAATGGTCAATACGGACTATAAATATCATCAAAAGCACTATTTCAGTAAGAAATTGCAGTAAATATGAGCAGTTTCTCCATAAAAATTACAATTTTGTAAAGTGAAATAATGACTGAAATTTATTGTGGAAAGTTTATTTGAAGGCATTCGCATTTATACCATTTGGACTTGGGTCAACACTGTCAAACGCGATTCTGATCATTGCGATAATGCGATGTCAGCAATTGCGCAGCAGACATGAAATTCAAGTGATATGTGCGCTAGCGTTTGCTGATTTTATTGAAGGTATCCTTCTGCTTATGTGTTTGGACGTTTCGAACAGTGTTTGTCTGTTCTATTCAATATCTATTAAACGAATATTTCAATTTTTCTCAGTGGAGAAAGCGAGATGGATGATATCATCCGAACAACGGGCAAGTAAGCGTGGAAGATTCCGAGTAATTTATTGAACGAATGGGATTCACTGAAAAAGCGAAAAAAATCAAATGAGTAAATGAACAAAGACAGACAAATATCATAACAATAATATTAAAAAATAATCAAATGAAATAAACAAATACTAATCAAATGATATCGATAAACATAGCAGATGTTGTAGCACTAGCGACATTGATCGCAGGAATCTATCGATCAACAGTGATTATAATTGAAAGTCTGGATGTGTTATTCACACCTTTGCAATGCATGTTATTACCACACTCATGGGCATGGCGTTGGTCAGATTTTGCAACTTCGTTCATGCTGCTCGCATTGACACTTGATCGACTCGTGTCAGTTTTATTCCCATTGAAATACATCTCATGGGGACCAACATATCCGCGTATTGCAATCGGTCTGGTACGTACTCTTTCTTTTGTACTTCGCATCACTTTCCAGTTTTTTCTCTCAATGAAAACATTGTACTGGGATGTATTCACAGACAAAGGTGTCACATCAAAGGCAACATTTCTTCTCATTGACCAACTAAACGTCAAGCACACATGAGTAAGTACAGTGTGAGTCCCACCTGCTCCTAACAATTAAAGGTTGTCAATGAGCAATGGTTGTTTCCTCAGTATGAATACACTAACTCAAGAAGTCGCTACCTTAAATTTCCATTCATTTTTTGATATTTACTTGTTTACTTATTGTTAAATTTCGGGGTTAATATTTTCAGCCGTTCACACTGTCGTTATTACTTTCATTAGTTGCATGGTATCATCCTATTACAATGAAAGGTACTCTATCAATGCTCTGTATGAATGTCTACTTATCGCCGGCATTTTATGCAGCCTCGAAATATATGACCAGTTGCGCAACTACTTTGAGTGTTATTCTCTACGTACCAGTAGTGTTTTTGATTCGTAAGCAACTGAAACAAGTGTCCGACAAGCTTTATCCAACACAAGTAAGTGACTGATATCTGAAGGCGTGGAATTATTTCTGTCATCAATTTTATTATGATACTCTCAATAACTATCCCTTTAAATCATTCAGTTGATCGATTTTGCATATATCTCCGAATATTATTACCTTGCGCAGTTCTCGTTCACAGTCACACACACACACTCAGGTGTATTCTGCAGCAGTGTTCTTTTTTTGATTGTATTATTCGAATTTCATTAACGATAACGAAATCATTTGAAATCATTCAGCGATTAGTGTTAAGGTTGACTACCAGCGTCGCGCTCAGCTTAAGATGACCATCACGGTTGCAATTTCAAGTTTTCTAACGCTTTTTCTGGATGCCATTCCTCGTTCCATCGGAATTTACGGTGAGTGATACAATTTTTTTCAAAAAAATCCAGTTACATTTTCAAAACGATTCTTATGCTTGGCTGCGTGCTCCACTCAGCTCAGCACACACTTCTACGACTGATCAGTTCAAAGTGCAACCAAACAACTAATGAATTTCTCATTTGTTTCAAGCAAATGCGACGATGTGGGTGTTCAGTTGATGAGATCTTTTGAAAGAGTTCAAACAATGAAATATACAGTTTCCTACCAGTTGATCCGTTCATATTAGTGCATTATAATTTACATTTTTTGCAGGCACTGCGAAAATGATGAACGAAACACAAGAGCAATGCGAGAGCGCAATGTCAATTTTGTTCCATTTAACAAAATTGAACTCAATGATCAACCTGGTTCTCTATTACCATCGAAATAAGTCGATCCGTGAATCCATTCAGATACTCTTCAAAATTCGGCGGAGTAATTCATTTTTGATTCTGTTTGAACTAATATTCAAATTACTTATTTCATCTTCCTTCAAAACTTGTAAGCCTCACAAAAGTGGGCAGACGTTATGGAAAGAAATCAAAAGAAGAAAAGAGTGTTTATGTCAATCTCAACTATTGAAACGATTTACTCAGAATGTTAGAAATTGAGTTCCTTGTTTTCAGGTTCTCACAGCGTTTCCACAGTTCATCCGTTTGAGCCGAGTATTTCACGTCATCGCTCAACGATGGGAGCAAGACCAGCGCATGAGATGTTCTGAATTCTGCGTCAACCCCAGCACGATGCAGAAAGACAAACAATTACAAGATATCAAATTCAATCATACATCGAACAAAATCCTTTTTCTTCTCTGTTGTGATATGATCAATGTGATCAAATATCAATGGTTGACATGAATTGTGATGTTCGTTGTAATTGATATTAATGTTTGATCGGTATATAAGCAGCAACTGTATATAAGCAGAGCGTTTTGTAGTAGAATTCATTCCGTGTAATTTTTCATTGTATCGTCTACTAGTTGTTTTTAATAAAGTCTAATACAACTGTGGACTCTACAACACTCTCTATCAAGAAATAAAAAGCAAACAGCATTTTAAGAGGAAACACGAATTCATCTGTGCTCAGCGAGCCATGAGAATGAAGAGGAGATAAATGTTGATTCTAGATGAAATCATCCGTACAATCATGCTATCCAACGTTGATCGCCTCTGTCGTATGTGATATCCTCCAAGGTGGTAATTTGCCGCATAAAACCTATTTGAATGATAAATAACTATCCAAATTTCGCACATGCGAATCGTACATTTTAGGTGTGCTTTGATTTAAAAAACCGTTCTATCCGTCTAAAACTGCAATGATGAAAGCCTAAAATGAATAAAAATTATACAATCAAATTTTCAAATTGCATATTGAATTGTCACATTGTCTATATAGAATAAAACCAAAAATTCATGGAACAAAAAGCCCTTAAATTTCAATCCGATCGGACCCGAAACTGCAAGCAATATTAGCAATGCAATTTTGCCAAATTTAGCTCAACCAGACTCATATTTTAACCTATTCCACATCAGTGTTGAATGTTTCGACAACGAAATAATCATACATGTGGTTTAAATGTGATTCGATGAATTCGATAAAGATCATTATGAAGGTAGCTAATAGATAAGCTTCAGCGAGTGACCACAGACCCGACAGATTTCCCCTTATCACAATATTGAAACTAAACGGCAACATTCTACGAGCGTAATCAATGGCCGACCCGGCCATAATTCCCGCTGTTAAGAAAAAGTACGCACGGTGAGTCCGAGAACCCTCGTTAACTAACAAAGGAAGGTCATGAAGTTACCCCGCCTTTCGGGATGAAACATATATCATATTGTAGTGCTCGTGTAGCTGATCAAGAATATGCAAAAAAAATTTTGCAGTGGACAAGGGGGACGTGAGATATGACGGGAAAAAGGTTTTCTGTGTATTGAATTGACGTTCTGAATTCCTCCTTGACGTCGGCGGCTTGGCCTGGCGGATAGTGCGCCAGAATCAGGTCTGATTGCCATTTGCTTTGGTTCCGCATGACGGCGAAGCCTTTTTTCTCATACATCTATAGCATATTCAAGCAGCCTTGATATTGTACTGCCCTCTCTAGTTGTGGTAATTTTTTCAGTTGTGGATTTTTTTTTCAATTTTGTGACAATTGCGCGATGAACATCCGATGCACTAATGAGTTTACTGTCGCTGAAAGAAACTTTATCCGGAATAGCAAGGACACCATCATCTGTCGATCTTGAGATCACAATTGAAATCAAATACTTTTACTAATAACGACTCTTACTGAAACTCAAATACGATTCAGTGCTGACAAAATGTTATCATCTTCAAGCGTCGACTGCCGTGAGTAGTTTGTCATTATCGGTATGATAGTGTGATCGAACATGATAGATTATAGCAGCGCATTTATCATTAAACATTCCTGCCACACACCATATTCAGGCAACATGCAATACAAATAACATCACATGAGCAAAAATCATCACAGACTGATCAGTGATTAAGTCAGATTAAGCAATCGGTGAAAAGCAAATCGTGACAAAAGCGATCATCCCTAAACTTATAATTAAATATCAGGTTAAGATGATCTCTCCTATCTGTCCTCCCTAATCGGATTTAATGCGAGCTAACACTAACACATCCAAAAATGTAATGTAAATGAATTTGGAAAATTTGGTTAACATCGGAATTCTTAAATCTGTCCATAATTGTGAAATATACTCGAACTAGACGAACTAAATAAAATCAAGATGAACTTATGTACTATGAATCAAATTCACCTGTCCGAGAGTTCACTCAACTATGATTCAACTTGGCCTGGTTTGGGCATGAGTTCATCTGTATACAAATGACCGGTGCTCTTCTAGTTCAACTATCACCTCTCGCATTTTGAGAAAAAATTTTCAAGTCCAAGATCTCTCATTTGAAGGTCACTGTCTGCGTCCATTGATTACATCGCATCTCTCAATTGTTGTATTTTGTCCCATTTCCTCTCTTACCTATGTTATATTTCTTTTTCATAACGTGTCTACCTAGGTGCAGCATTTCCTATGATGAATCCATTACTTACAATTAGCTTCTTTGATGAATCCATTGCTTTTTCCACTTTTATTCAGCCGCATCTCCCCACCATACTCACAAGCTAGAACAGCATTAACACCGCGCATCAAACCAACTGATGCGAACCATTCCTCGAATTCACCTTCGTCCACGGAAATCTTAGATACGTCACAAAATCTGAATCCACGAAGCACATCCATATCGTCACACAACAAACTGATTATTCTACGGTTTCTGATAACTTTAAATAGTGAATCGTGAAAGAGGTCTGCGATGGTAGACGGTTTTAAACGGTTCAGGTTTTGTGTTAAGAAACATGAAAACAAACTGTGGGGTCACAATTGTAATGCGTGACCTCTCCGAACATTATGCTTACGTGGATTACTGTAATCCTTGAAATTTAGGTGAATGAAGCATTGCGATCATTTGTAATCGTATTGAGACATTCATTATAATCACTTACAATTCTGTTGCATTGTATAGTGTCTTGAATTTGTCGTGCTCTCTGCCTCTCCATTGATGGAAACCTCTCAACCGTTAGACGGATATGGTGAGCAGCTTTCCCTTTCGGACTTGGAAAAATTTTTGCTCAAAATGCGACAGTTAAACTAGAAGAGTGCCTGATCTTATCATGACTTGATTTGAGTTTATTTCAGTTTTAGTCTTGATCATACCTTGTGTTGCTTAATTTGACCAGAAGTGGACTCGCTTTTATCTTGACTGTAACCTAACCTTGACATGACTTAACGCCCGCTTTAGATGTCTTCACTATGAGGCAAATTAAGCATAACTTAGATCAGCTTAACCAACTTAACCGTAACTCAGCTTATTTTCGTTTTATTATGACTGTCTTGGAGTATCTTATTCACGATCATATCATGATTGATTCTTCAGTCTAATATCCATGCACTTTATCTTATTCATGATTGTATTGAAAATTTAGATTTCTTGTAACGCATATCACGTCATCTATCTTGCATTACTTTACTTTTAATGTTAGAGTCTTCTACCCTTACTTATAATATTCTTTACTTTACTTTAAGTTTTACTTTTTACTTTCAATCATCCGGCATGATGTCAGAGTGCTCTGCCTTTCATGTTGTATTGTTGCTTGTACATGTTTTTTACTCAATAATAAACTATCTATCTCGAATTCTGTAAATGGATTCGTAAGCGACGGGAGTAGTTCCATCATTGCTTATTTGGCTCGACTAGATTTGCTATTCATCCGCATTCATGTTGATCGCCTATCGGGAATAAAATCTTTTGATATTTTGTGGCTGTTCTTATGTTACCAAATGTTCTCACCGATCCGGATTTCTTTTGGTTGCAACCATTAAACATTATATCAGCGCTTGAGTGTTTCCTCTTTTTTATCATAAACAACTCTTTAATAATCACTTTCCGATGTCAACCAGAATCTTGATTACAAATCAAATCAATTCTTTGTTCGTTATCCTTCTCCACATGATTAGTAATCGAATAGAAGATTTGGCGCAATTGTCGCATATATAAACGCACACGTACACAAACAAGTACATTATCAAAATGCACGAAAGGAAACAAATCAGAATTATATGATTATATCATATATTATCAATCACTGCACAACATAAAGATGATACAAGTTACTCTGATTTTCTTCGATATAAAGCAAAATAACGATCAAAATATTAATGAACCAGCACATAACAGCAACAACAGTTGAACACACCAATAACAACAGAATAAAAACTAGTGATGGGGTCCGAGCAAAATTTTGATCGAGTTGGCATTTCGTCATTTCGACCATCGAAATTCCGATCGACTTTCAAAACTGTTCGCTCGGAATCCGATCGTCGGAATTCCGACCGAAATTGTCGCATTTTTCCGACCGACTGTCGGTCGGGCCTCATCACTAGTAAAAACCATTTAATGACGGGCAACTTCATCTTAAAAGTTGTTTGGAAAACTATTATTCCTCGGTTCAGTCAGACTGATGATTTCAAAGGCAGTGCTCTTAACTGCGCATTATTACTCACCAAGACGATATTAAACGATCGATTGTTTACCCGTACAAAATGGGATAATTTCAACCATACTCCACATCTGCCGAAGCAGTTCCATGTGAATCTCGTAATTCATGCGATCATTATAATTTTTGTTCGAAATTCCACCGGACGGTGTAGGTTGTCATGCAACGCTGTTAATATTGGCTGTGTGGAAAACAAGGAATTCGAATATTTTCAAACAAGGAAGTAAAACTCCAACTCGTAATAAAGCATGCATTAAGAATCGAAAAATGGACTATAGACGGAAAATAATTGACGATCACAAAAAAGAGAGCAAAACAGAAAAAACCATGACTGGGATAGATTAGAGTGCTGGAATCAGCGCTTTACTACAGCAAGTAGGATTGGAGTCGATATTTATAGAAAGAAATGCACCAAGTCATGAACAATATAGTATGGAAGTAAAAAAAAAATGAAACCAGTACCTGGAATGTAGTATGCACACATCGCAGATCGACGAAAAATGAACATATAACAAGATCAGTAAGTAACAATGCTGTTAAATATAATATGACATATCTATATGGGAATGTGGTGTCAAAGAGTTGTCTCGCTCTCGAAGTACGACTTATTCTCGAGAACATCACAATTCGAACTCACTACTTTCTCCTGCTCCATATCTGGTTCCTTGAACTCATTGTAGTAATATGTACCGGCTTTATCGTTGCAATACTCTGAGCTCTTCATTAACTCTAAACAAATGATATTGCATCAGTAAATGATTGCAAATAACCACCAGATGAACACGAAACAAAATGGTCAATCGTTCTGACATGCCGATCACGCCGAGACAGACTCAAAGGAAAGAGCCGATAGGGTTGATAGAGTACATTTCGGACTGCGTTGAAATAATTTCAGAATTTACCTGTTTCACCATTCTCTAGAACAACGATCGGTGTGTAAAGGAGTGCCGCTGATTGCTTCGTGGTTGGTACAAGATAGTTACCTTCGTCCATTCCAATCTCTTGACGACGACCGGGTATCGGCTCGCTTTGATACCGTTGCGAATCGGTACTTACGAGCCGTTGATCACGCCTTGTCAACTAGAATATGCAACGTGATAAGATAACAAATACGTTAAATGCAACAAGTTTCCACTCACAAATGTATTGCTACACGGTGACAAAGTCGAATCGTTGGTGCTTTTATCGTCTATTCGATTATTGTCGTTATTATTAGTACTCCAAGTTGGTGACGTCGGCGTATTTGGAATAAGCGTAGTATTTGTGAGCATGTGATCAGGGTGATGATCAAAGTATTCTAATGGGTCCGTGAAATCGTTATCCTCTAACAATTCATTGATCAGTTCATGTTGATCACCACAGTTTAACGCTTCAGTCTGCCGTGGACGATGCGGATCCTTAAAGAAGTTCGCATCAGAATTGTCGTGCATTCACAACTCAACGATAACATTATTCAAATAATAAAACTGCAATTATCTCAAGTTTTCAAGAAGAACCAACCAAAACGTAAATATCCGGACAAGAACAAAACTGCTTGAATTTTTCCTTTAATAGTATAAAACTCGGTCGTGATTCCGGATTTGGCAGCCAACCTGGAAAACGCATACATTGAACGAGTAGCAAGCATGAATATTTTGAGAAATATTTGGAGCAAATTAACTGGTAAACACATAAGCGCATCTAAGACTAATTCAGTCTTTCAAAAATTGCGCAATATCGATCGTACTAATCGTAAGATATTTATTCAAGAGATTGAGAGGTTGTCTACATTCTCATTGAGCACATTCGAATCTAACACATTCAGTATTACTAGCGACAGATTTTTTCTATTGAAAACCGTATCTGGTGCTCGCAACGAAGGAGGATGGTTTGGATCCATCTGCATCCAAATAGTACTGATACTGTTGCATTTTCGTTGATAATTCTGCAGTTTACTTGGTCAACGGAACTTATGGGCACCAACCGCCAGCAATTTTTGAATTTGTCCAAAAACAAGCACTGTTTACGCACTAGAAGCGTTCACTCATTTATAGGTGGTATTGTACAATTGATGTGTAAAAAGGAGAAAACAATACAAACATTGAACAAGCGTTTGATAGACATCTTGAGTGCAGTTGTTCGGTTGCTCCAGTCGATTACCGGCTTCCAGATGTGAACGAATATTGTCGGGTGCTATCGTTTGGTAAGGCGTTTGACCAAAAGTCAGTATCTCCCAACATGTCACACCGAATGCCCAAACATCCGTACAGTGCGTATAACAACGATACAGAAGGCTTTCGAGTGCCAGCCATTTCACAGCCACCTGAAAAAGTAATGTTCATTCACTATCCTCTGAAATACATTCAGCATCTCCACCATTTCCCTGTCAACACTGAGCATCAGTATCGACAGAGATTAGCAAACATTGAGGAAATCAGTTTGAAAATTTGTGAGGTCAAATTCTATTTTATCAACATAAATTCGTCCACTATTAAATTGGGAGTGTCAAAAGATATACAACACTTCAGATTGCAGTGAGAATGAGCAATGTTCACCTTTCCACCAACGACAATTTCACTTTTGCCTCTTTCAAGCATTTTCGCTAATCCAAAGTCGGTCACTTCCACATGATTCGTGCGTTTTACAAGTACGTTACGTGCTGCTAAGTCACGATGAACGAGTCGATTTTTATACAAATACTCCATTGCCTAAACAGATGAGCTCATTGAAAGTCGTTAGTATCACGAAAATTTATACTTAGAACAATTAATGATTAATGATTAGAAAGATTGGGAATTGAGATGCAGACTGTTTCGATGTTTACTGCTATCAAGTGCTTTGTTTCGACGAATACGCTGTCAACAATGCATTCAATCTAGCAGATTTGCTCTGTTTTATGTTGATAGAACGAACCGATGCGATCTGATAGCAATACAGCAATAAATCACGAGCTCCAAGTTTTTGTCGATGCTTCGTAAGAAAATCACGAAGATTGCCGAGTGGTCGAAGCGGTGTGACCAGTTGAATACCATCATGTAAACAAACGCCAACTAGACGTAACAAGTGCTCGTGATGCATAGATGCCATGATGCCAGCCTCAGCAAGCATTTCACGTTGTGCGATACCACTCGAGTCTTGAACCACTTTAATTGCCACCACAACTTTCTCATGACCCTCTTTACCATTCGGCCACCAGTATCCCTTAAAATATTGCCGAACAATTTTCTATCGAAACTTTTTCTGCAGTCCAAAAATCGAGATCAAGAATTCCTAGTTATACCAAGAAAAATTCGGTGTAAATTTAAGATTCTAGTAATGAATCAACTATAAGCACGATCAATGAAGACCAAGGAAAACAGAAATAAAGATATTCGTACCGCATATACAATTCCAAAGGCACCTTTGCCAAGTGGTCGCGATGTTTTTGAAAGGTGTTCACTTGAGATGAGACATAATCGACTCATATTCGGCTTAACATTTGGGTCCATTGGTTCACATTCAGGTAACACGGGGAGATTCATTTGGACCTCCTTTTTATATTGTCGTTTGTATTTGTAACATTTCCACATCAATACCTACGAGAACAATTCAAATAAAACTTCTCGCTGTGTGTATGAATATACAAAATTGATTGTGTTTGATTCCATCCTGTAACGCATTAGTTCTCAACCTTTTTTTGCCCTGTATATCTCCTAGAAAATTTCAGGATGCCTTCGCACCCCTTCCGTACCTCACTCAACCCCTCTCATCGCACCCCTGATTGAGGAACCTTGCTCTAATGGTTTCGTTATCGGATAATGGCATGAATTCAGAACGCTGAAATGTCTCGAACGCGAAATGAAATGAGTGCCACATCAAACGAAGGATAACGGAATTATTGATAATACTGTTAACGAACCGCAACAATAACAAATATCATCGCAGCACCGAACATGGCAACAATAGCAGTCCTTCGTTCCCTGCAAACTCAATCGAAATTATTCGGCTGTTTAAGGACAATCGCCATTAATCAGATTTTTCTGCAATCCATCAAACTTTCCAGCATCGAAAAGTCCTGGTGCTGGATGATTGAGCAAACTCTAAAATTAAATCGACGAAAAAATTAACGAGAAATGATTACGTTCGTGCCCTGACCGCGATCGGATCCAGTGATTGACATAACTTGTCATCCGTTTGGTAAGGCTTATCCGCGGGACACGCCTCAATACAGAGCTGAAAAACTTGTTGTATATATTCCGCTAGCATATTTACGAGAGTTGTTTACTGTTAGAAAGAGATGAAAAACAATGCATGCATTCCCACTAACTTTGACATTCTGATCCGTGTAAATCGCCGCATGGGCGCATTTCGAGCAATCAAATGGTGTATCACCACTACAACCGCTATTCTGATCACAATATTCATGACACGTACGACATTCACCAATTCCATCTGCCGATTCATTTCTTACCAAGTAGGAATTTGTACTGAAATTTTCGTACTCAGATTCAACGAATTTACAGAATTACTTTCAACACTCAGTAACTTCCTTGCTCGAAGTTTTAAAAACTAATTCATCACTGGAAGCAATAGAATCGAAAGAATTGCGAAATAATAAGAGTGAAACACAAAAAAGAAGTGGGACCCCTGGCTCGAAACTCAACAAGTTCCAACACTGAAATTGTTCGATTCCGAAGATTACTATTACTCGACAATGAATCTCTAAATCCTCAACTCACCGATCGCACTCCATTGTGCAGTAATCGTTAATGGTGTGACTTGTCCGAGTTAAATAATGTGCGCATTTGCATTTATGATAATGAACCGAAGTACCATAGCCGGTGCATGTAAGACATTCTGGCAAGCATTCCTCACATTCCTATTAATCAATTAATAAAATCAAATCGCAAGCAAAGAAAAAAAACACAAGTCTTGCGGCATGCTTCGACGTCTAGAAAATACTATTATCCAGAAAAGTATGATAGCACTTTATTTTCTTAGCAGTTAGTTCCTGGAATAATATTTGATCGATTTTGCGAACAAAAAGTGGCCGTAAATTTCCTCTAAACGAAATAAAAGAAATAATGAGAAATTCAACGTCAGTTTAAGAAAACCTACAAACTGCTCCACGTAAGCTCTGCCAGACGTTGTATAGTAGTTGGTGAGGTTGTTATCCATACATACTTCTTTCGGTTTACCGTAAGATATGAGACATTCGTAACGATCACATGTTCGACACACTCGTTTCGCATGTAAACATTTATTGCAACCACCAGCTCCCAAATTACTACCAGCACCGGTACAACTATGGAAAGAACATAATGTAAGGGATGAAATGGATCTTATCGTCAGAAGTAGAGTTCGACGGCAAACTCAAATTTTGCGATACTTCATGAGCTCATGTTATCAGTATGCTTCACGATTACCACTCTCATTTGTGGACCATGAATAAAATATTAACGACGCATCAAAGCGTTTAGTCTTTGGTAAAACTCACAATCAGCTAAAATGTTGAATGGGAACTTACCCGAAATCATAGCATGCAGCATTACAAGGTAGGCAAGTGTTAGCATCTTGGTAATGTGTTGCTGGACACTTTGCAAGACACTCAATACCACCTCCTTGCTGTAATGCGACATGTTTGCACTTTGTACAATTCAATGCCGTCTCACCGTTACATGTCACGCATTCGTCATCGCACCTCTTACACTTTTTATCATCTTCTATGTAAAAACTGAAAAAAGTTGAATGCTCTTAAAAAATTGATAATCTATTTTTGAAGCATTATTTGCGTGTAGCATAAACCACTTACCCGACTTTGGGACAATGATTAGCACATCTGTCACCCATATCAAAACGCTCACATTCAAGACACATCGTTGGACCACTACCCCAACACCCAGCGTTCTGTTTACAAGCCTTATCACAAACATGCGACAAATTTGCTGCAACAAATTATTCACAGATTCATAGCAAATGAGTGAGTAAACAAATGAAATTTAAAAAATTAAACAACGAAACGAATGAAACTAATGCTTACTGCACAGTTCTGGATTCCTGTTTCGAATAATGCGTGACTTACTGCCACCATCTTCAACGATCATTTCAATTATCCTCGGCCAAGAATCATTCATCGTGTCCACATAGCAAAGATTCATATTCGAGCCAATGTAGACTCTACCATTGCTAATCCTTTTCAATGATCGTAATCCCAGTTGACGTAAATTCAGGTTATTACTTATCGATAAAGCATGATTATCTCTGAAATGCAAACTGTTTATGTGCCCAATTAAGAATCACATCTAAAGACATAATGAAGTTCATCTTTCAGCGACCATATTTATTTTCAAAAATATAATACCACATAAGCACATAGCACAAAAATAATGTAGCATAGCAATGAACCTTCCACAAAATGTAATGATGAGCCAAAGCGACCCTGAACAATTCCAAAAATAAAATGTCAGTATTAATAAGAATGGTTCAGGAAGAATGTGAATCAACTAACGATAACTTTCTGCCCTCTATTGTTCCGAGATTACGCAAAAAATTTAAGGAACGTGGTGTGTATTCACCAGCTTGAATGTCCACATATTCCGTGACCACTTTAACACTACTTAATGCTTCGAGCATTTCTTCAGTTAGCGCAGGAACCTGCGTTGAAGTGCTGCAAGAAATCAGTATTCATTTACAGACTTAATATTTTGCAATTGTTGTCAGAAAAGACCTGCATCGTTCCACGAAGTTATAATCTCGTGGAGTGGATCTAACTTAGTGGTTCTCAGAGGAAATTTCAAGGAGACGGTGAGGAATTGAAGGGCAATGAGTGGTTGAAAATGATGATTGGCAGAAGAACAGATTATGAGGAAATGAATTCGGTAACAAGACAGTTGCTTCGATCAAGATCCATAATCCCAATAGTTTCACAGGTAGTCAACGTGGAAAGAACTCACAGCCTCAACTTATAAAAACGACCCCTCACACAACAAATTCGTATAATCTTCTGAGGCATTTTTACGAGATCTACTGTAGGAAGGTGCTGATAAATCAAGACCCCAAAAAAAAGTTACAGAAACGGTGATTTAGCCGTTTAGATTGTGAGGAATTGAAGGTCAGACAGTTCGTTTCCTATTGACATCAGCAATGACGTGCAACATTTATGGTTTCCGTACACGAAAATAAGTTTTAAAATCAACTCACATCGGCTGAATAATCGAAACAAATTTTCTATGCGGTTCGAAGGTGTGTCGTAATAATTTAATATAACCCTCTATGAGAGTGCAATTTTGAAGATTTTTGATATTAATCGCATCGATAGGTTCGTTAAGAACACAAGCTGAAAGAAATGAAATGATTTAGATTTGAACAGCAATGCTCAAAGAAAACATGATTATAATAACCTCGAACAATAACGGCTGTACAGGAAAACAGTGACTTTTGATGACTCAGAATTTCGAACTTGCTTGCACATGATTTTATTGGGATAAGCTACAGGAGCGCCAAAACGAATGAAATCTGATTACAACTGAGTAAACTCCTACTTTTCGGGCAAATACCCTTTGGACATTTCTCGCATACACGCGTATTCTTGTCTGGATCATGCCAATAGCCTTCTCTGCAGTGAACAACACAGTGTGCTCCCTGAATGAGCGTTTCGTCTGAAAGTAATGCTAAATAAATAAGTGAATAAATAGCACAATATGCCAAAATGCGAAATCAGTAGATAAATTACAAAAACAGTACTGAAAATCATGTCTTGCATTTAAGAAAATACGAATGTTTAACATGCATGCCTGGACAACGCTCCACACAGTAACGATCGTACGTATACCGTGGATTCGGATGATTCACAGTCATCATTTTTGTTCGATCATAGGACGTTAGACCGTTACATTGATCGACGCACTGAGAGTCTTGTTCCAAATGAGCACATGCCTGTTGATGAATGGAATTTGTTGATGAAGAATAACCGATATAATACACAAATATTACAATGGGAATTATTCATTAAGCTGACAAGTCCTTCGGAACTATAAATAAAAGCGGAAAGACGAAGAGCAAATATATACAAAGTTCAAGCACTAAAAAACGAGACTAGAATTGAAGAATGCTTCTTAAAATTGCCTTACAATGCACTCATCTTTCCCTGGACCGTAGCAGCCAGCAGCGCACGATGTGTCACAGCATCCGGTATCGTTGCCTTTAAGATAGCACATTCCAGAAGCACACTTCTTTGGACATATGCTACGGTATATTGTTTGACATTTGTCTGCACCACATCCCCAACAATGCCCATTGCATTCTGGAGCACATTCCAGTGATGAATTGCAACTTCCAAAATTATTCGCATCAAATCGAAGTCTTGACTCGTCGGCGATCTGCAAAATGGTATCTTTTGTAAATTTCCAACGATGCTTTTGTAAATTATGAACGAAGCAGTTACACAGAGAAATTTTCATTTAGCCAATCAGCGGTTTGCAGTAATCAACTTGCTAGCTTACTGCTACAGTATCTGTGTTGAACTCACCTCACTGAATAGAACTGTTTGCTCCCAGTTGCACAAATAATCATTGCTTGATAAAACAATGAAGCCCCGCTCGACACCTGAATTTGCATAGTAATCAGTATCAATGATCAAAGAACGTTTTATTGAATCACTAAGCAATGCATTAATCAAATTCAGAGCTGATAATATTTTCGAATGATGGAATTCATCATCTTTACAGCTAGATTATAGGTTTCATGCGAAATTAAACGCGCTCCATTGACACGGGTCATTCGGACATCTTCAGTTTGTGAAAATGTTTGAAATTGCAACTTGATTTAACGGCTATATCGTCCGATTCAACTCAATGGAACCGCGACGATCTAAATGTGAATATAATGCTGAGAGATGAAACAACTTCGGAAATTGCTTCGAACTGTAAAATATCTACATCTGTAAACAAAGTTATCTCACGATACTTACTTCTCAATTTTGGCAAATTAATATACTTCAAATTTTTATTATTAATGATATGTACAGCCGCGACGTCTTCGTGCCGAACGTCACCCCAAATGATTTCCAGATTCCGCAGTGTGATACTTTCGAATTCATTCGAATAGATTAACAAGTAGCCGGTTATCTGAACGAGCCAATTCATGCTTAATTAATAATATTAATTGGCAAGGGCCACCTAACTCACAATCAGTGGGCAGTTTTCAAACATGTTTGTTGATGATCTCGAATGTATAAGTGCTTATGCAATTCAAAGTGAATGGTTCCAGCCGATCTCTTGTTCGATTATTTTTTTGTAATAATAATGGCAATATTGATAATACTACTATTATTACTGCTACTAATAATAATGACAGTGATGACAATACCTTGGTTGACCGATTGATGCGTGCACGAAGGTATTTGCGGAACGTTTCGACGCAAAGTGTCAGCGATCACCGCACAGATGTATTAACACTGGATGCGGTGTACATGTGCGATTGGCTAATACATTGAGTCTTTAGCGGACTAATGATTATGCATCAAAGTATGAATATGCTATCTATGAACATGCTATGGACAGGTTAGGTATGAACATGTATCCATGTGGGAGAAACTTGTGGTATTGATGGCTACCTCGATGCAAAAATGGGAATCAAATAGATAAGTAATGGACGTGATGACAATGTTATTAATAATAGTGATAGTAATAATAGCCAGTAAGTGATAAAAGTAGCAGCGGTAAAAATAACAAAAGTAATAATAGTAATAATAATAATGCCATAACAATAATGGTGATTATAATGATAATAATAATGATAATGCTAATGATGATTCTCGATGAAGATCGCCTCTTATATTTATTTTCTTTGTAATTTTTGCTCATGAGCTAAAATTTCAATACGAGCTCTCCTGAGTGCCTATTACGCATATGCAGCGAACATGGCTTCCTTTGGTCTGCATGCTTCATACACGCAAGATGTTGCTTGTATGAGGTTGACCGCTCTCACCTTTGTAAAGGGGTGAGCGTTCACAGTAAACCGTTCCTTCTGTTGAGCATGCTCCGTTACCATTCTTGCAAACTTTACATTGCTCTCCTTCACATCTCTTCTCATAGAGGCAGACATGTTTCTGTTAGTTACTGTTTTAGTGATGGTGTTGGTACCGCAACAACATTCACATCAACATCCATTTTTGGATTATTTTACGGACTTTAATGATGAAATCGTTCATGATCAGTGGTGCTTTGAGGACAGCAAGATCCTCTGTTTAACAATGAAAAGGGACGGCAGCAATCAAATGTATCACAACGATTATGTCTCGCTCTAAAAACATTGAAGCAAGGTATTAAATGTTGTGAAATACAAGTGGTAAAGGAAGGGGCTTCGTGGTAATGAGCCAAGATCTGGATTAAAGATTAACCATGCAACACCTTTCGGATAGAAACACGTATGTCAACGGCGCAAAACCAACTTTGCAAAACAACTGCAAACAGGGCAAACGCACTTAGGAAATGATATATGCCAAACGCAACATTGGTGATTACCAATTAACAAATAACCCACCTAGATGTCCTATGATATATTTAGTTACAATAACTCACAAACTCAAAGAAAATGACTCAGCCACTGCTGACGCCAGCAAAATGAAGGTACGTCCAATAATCTCAGGATGTGATGACCATTCGGATCAGGTGTGTTATTGATACTGTTGTTATTATTATTGTTATTATTATTATTACTATTATTATTTTTACCGCTGCTACTTTTATCACTTACTGGCTATTATTACTATCACTATTATTAATAACATTGTCATCACGTCCATTACTTATCTATTTGATTCTCATTTTTGCATCGAGGTAGCCATCAATACCACAAGTTTCTCCCACATGGATACATGTTCATACCTAACCTGTCCATAGCATGTTCATAGATAGCATATTCATACTTTGATGCATAATCATTAGTCCGCTAAAGACTCAATGTATTAGCCAATCGCACATGTACACCGCATCCAGTGTTAATACATCTGTGCGGCGATCGCTGACAATTTGCGTCGAAACGTTCCGCAAATACCTTTGTGCACGCATCAATCGGTCAACCAAGGTATCATCATCACTGTCATTATTCTTATCATTAAAAAAACTTGAAAATACGTTGTTGAAAATATCTTAGCGCTATTTCACAACTTTCTTCGTAGCTTATGAGTTTATAAATGAATCGAGTACTCAAAAATACCTGTTGAATATGATCTAAGAATGAGAACAACTGCTCTGGATCAGTTCCATTCAAATGCTCTCTTCGAATGTGTGTAATCTCAAGATTGCCATAAACACGCGTACAATTCTCGTATTGTTTACGCAGTTGTTCTATGCGGTTCTCATCTTGTAGCTCAGCACGACTATTATCGCTTCCCGAACACACTGCAATAAATTACTTCACTTTTTTCACGATGATAGAACACTGCAAACAAAAGTTGGAGAAATATGCATATGGCGGTTGGGTGGAAGTGCGGACGAGTGATGCACACGAATTGTTGCCTCTGAAATGTCACAAATGAAGATGTAGTGCTGACACAATGAGTGCTGTCTGAGGTGGTGTCTTGTTACGATTGATCAGGGAATCTACATGTGAAACTATCTCAAAAGTGACATACATTCCCAGGGTAAATGTTGCAAAAACACACTGTACAAAATTAACAAGCAAAACGTGATTATCAAACGTAGTAATTATTTTTGAGTCAAATGAATCAACTGTTTTCACAGTGACATTTTGTGACACCATGTGAACAAACAGGTTGAAAGCAAAGCCAAAAACATATTTTGCATGACCGATTCTTTTTGAGCTCAAAATTTCATGCTTTCAGCAGATAAGCAACACGTCATCGTTCCGATGGAACTTAACTGGATGTTTCTTATCCGACACGCAGATGTCATGCGTCTACGTATAACTGATGCGTTCTATAATAATTCGACTACACCCCGGTTGGTGTCAATCCGCGGTGACATACCACTTCAGTGAAGAAGTTACAAACTGTCTGATCGTAAGCTATTATTGTATATCTGAACGCAATAGTTTTTTGAGTGCTTTCGCCTAATAGTCAATGAACTTCGAGAGTGGAGAACTGAAATGGCATTGAAAGTGAATCTTATACGAATTCAATGTTTGCACTCGAACAATTTGCACATTGCACACGTGCTATGATGTGGCACTCAGAGTTGTTTTCATCATTGCTTCATTTCAATAGCTCATGAAAGTATTTCTTAACACAAAAAGCCACGTCAACCATGATTATTTGTCAGCTCACTCAATGCCTTTGGCGATGACTATCAGATTTCTAAAGATGCTTTGAAAGTAAGTTCTTCCGCTTTTTGTGCTCCTTTTAATGGAAGATGCCTTTTTTGCTCATGTGCTTTCAAGGAGAAATGATTTTGAATGAAAAAAAAAACAAAATAGATTCATCAGATAAATTCATAAATTCATCCCTTTTTTGATGTTGTCGTTCTAGTTTTTAGCACTTAATGCAACATCATGCACAAGGCAGCTGCATAAGATACTCAGCATCTTACAGAACAATCACAGGCTAACGAACCACATTTTGCTGGATCGTTGCATGATGAACGCCATAATTTGCCCGCGCCATTAACACCACAATGAACCAGCGAATGGAAAATAATCAAGAAAAGTAGTGCGAAACAAATGGAATCGTTGAAATTATTATTTGCAGGTGAATACATTATATTTTCAGATGGTCAGTTTGCTACTGGCAGTGATAGGTCAATGAGTAACCACTTAGAAGAGAACTGAATAGAAATGAATTGGAAGCGCAATCCAATCGAAGAAATAAGCTGAGCGTTACTTGATCTTTCAATGAAACCAACAACCGAGAGTGTACTGAACAACAACTAGAAGATATGAACGGACTAAGCGAAATTGTATTTGGATTATTTGCAACTAATCGAAACAAATGGCTGGGTAATGCAATCACATCCAAAACATCACTTATTCGTGCGCAACTAAATATCATTATATGACGTTTGCTATAGGTCGAAAATTCACTTTCACTAATTGCCATTTGCAAACGCTTATTCATATTTTTAGTTGTTTCTATACAAATACGTCAGCTTTGTGTCATTCTATATTATGCCATCTCTCAAACGATGAATCCTTTACCTAAACAAACTTCATGCGCATTCCCGCTTAACAGTATCTCCCCCTACGGTATTTCCTTTCTATGCGACACTCGAAATTACGATCAAACAACTGGGAGACTACAGTGCGAACAGACAGTTGCATATATCCTCAAAAAAGAATATTCGAAAGGGATTTGACAAAAACCTTTGATGATGTTCGATGAATTTTAATGCTATCAGATGACATGTTAATATATACAATCAGACACACATTTTTACCTATTTATTCATCCGTAATGTGATAACAAGTACCTCTCCCTAGAGTGTTTCCTTTTTAAGTTAATTTAAGTTTGGACTACGCTCTGCTGCGTTGCAATACATGATGTCTGGCGACCATCTGAAAGTATTCGTTCATATGCGTGTCTAATCCCATCCGAATTTGTTCATTTTTAGCTAATATAAAGCGACAAAGCGATCAGCTAAGCAAAAAACGCCAGTTAAATGTGAAGAAGTTCCTACAAACCATTTATAAATAAACAGATGCGTGATGGAAATAAATCATAAATCTAAAAACAAATCAAACAATGCAAGTGCATTTCAGAGGAATTTTTTATGCGTTTAAGTAGTTGCATTGATGTTTGTGCACATTTCTTCGCAAATATTTATTCACTTATTCGATCGTTCAATTGCCAGCGTTAACTTGCCACCGTGAACTGTTTGAATTTGTTCGCTTAGCTCTGCTGGCTTTTGCTAAACCTTTTTTCATAATAATGATCGTTATTGTTGGTTTTTGTCGTCTAGTTGGTCAGATTATCACACATTCAAGCGAACGATGTGTTTCAATAATGTTTTATAGTTCATTCATGCAGTACTACGTATGTGAAATATCTAGGCATTCTTTAGATGCTCGAATATTTGCGGTAACGAGACGGAGAAGCATCGAGGAGTTGGTTTCTCATTTCCATTCTACTCGACGTATTTGAACGGCCATACTGCAATTCACTCGCAAACTACTGTATTTCACCACATAAGTGGGCAGTTTTCCATGCTTAAACTGAATTTTGACAAATCTACACCGTATGGAATTTCGAAAATCTTCTTTGCATTCTAGTGATATATTCAACGAAGTAATCATGTTTTTGCAACGGGCAGACGATATTCACAAATTAGCAAAAGCAATTAAAACTCTGCAGAACTGAATGAAGTTTTCCACACTGAGACGAGATTATTTTGGCTGGGGATCCGAAATGCAACAGATATTTAAAAAAAGAACAACGCACAGAGTTGCAGTGAATGAAAAAAGGATGGATCGATTAAGAAAAGAAACGCACGAAAACACACACACACACACATCAGATCGTACTCACATGCATTAAAACAACCACAGAATTAACGCTACATCTATTATGAAACAACACGAAAGCGAGCGAATAAGGATGGAAGCTGACGATCATCCATTTGACATACATAAAATACACAGGAGTGTATGTTTTGAGTCAAACAAATCAACTAGCCTCCTTCTGCGTCCAGGCTCCCTGTTAACAATCATAGATTAATTTCAATATTCTCTTTGTTCAATTCGTGAATTTGAAATCAAAACATTGATTATGTTATGTACAGTTCGTGATGAACTGCCCAAAAGCGAGTGGAACCCGTATAAAGATATACTGATGGGCATTGCAACGCAAAAATTACCTACTTACTCCATTTTATTGTCTGAGTTGGACTTGATATGATACTACAAAAGTCAGAAGTTTGTTTTTTCTCGTTGCCATATCGCATTAATCACTTAGATGCTGCAGAACCAAAGTACTGAGCTGCCATTTACTCATGATCAAGTGTGTTTGAAAGTTCATGAGAACTGAATAAGTCGACAATGATGCATTATTCATTCATTATCACATCATTGCGCACAACTTATTTGACACTACTACAATCATCCGTACATTAGTTTGCTTATTCCGTCAACTACTGCATTCCTTGTGGAAGGAGCATGATCTCATTGTTTCGTTAGAATCGATCAAACATCCTAATTATGCATTAATCGTGCGAGAGTATATGAGGATGGAAAAGCATCATGAATCATTTTATGATGAGTTGTTGATTTCAACTGGCACATCATTTATGCTTCAAAGCGTAAACAAAATAATTGCCGTTTTATTCACACTTAAGAGCCATAAGTTACTGATCAAAGACCAGCTTTTAAACAACAATTGAACTTACATTGTCGCAGTGAGGAGGGAAACGGTTTCTTGTGAGCTATTAGGTTATTTTTCTTGTCGAGCTGTTTCCTTTGAACTTCGCTGTTGATTGCAACAATGGCAGAAAGTCGATTGATCAGTACTTCAAACAATACAACACACAAAATTGTCCATGAATACAGCATGAGCAAAATCTGCGATATTCTGTGCTTTCACAGACGACCAAGCAAAATATTAGCAATATGTTAGCTGAAAAAAAAACAAAAAAATGTTTAATTATGCGACAGATATTCTTTATTGCAAATACATCCAGCAAAACTTGAGTCATGACATTGCTTTATCCTCAGAAGGGGATCAACGCAACCTAAGAGAATGAAACCGTGATATTTATATCGTTTATATAAGCCAGGTAATAGCGCTGTCATTTGAAAGATTCATTCCTCGTTGATTGTTAATGATACAAAATCATTAAAAGCAATCGATCGAAAGTCAAGAGTTTGATGTGTTCAACGAATGCGACAAGAATAACAAAAAGGAATAACTTCATTAAGTGCAGTCAGTTACGTCTGAACCATAATTACATGAACACGAGTCAAGTTATGAATGATAATCTAGCACTGAAAAAGAATAGAAAGAGAATTGGATAGCACAACAGCTGAATATGTACGTAATGAATATATTCGTCTATTATGAGCAATAATCACATTAATGCGTAAAAATGCAATCAAATGCTTCGGAGTCAATATTCTGTGAAATTACACAACAATAAACGAATGATAATAATTGCAGAACTGATAATCCATGTTGTTTAAGCGAATCAGTACTCGGCAAGGCATGCTCTATAAGAAATTTGCTCACATCAGGAACGTCTTTAAACTCAAGACTGTGCAGCAACTCTGATCTGCTTGCTGAAAAGATGCGAAAATGATATTCTTAATCGGTGGTGTGTGACATGAACAATGAATGTATACAATATTCAGGACTGATTTGTATGTATGCATGGGTTCTTATAATATTACATCGTATTATACGCAATCAAAAACGAAGATGAGGAAGGAAAAAATGCAGCGTAAATGATATTTTTGCACCGAATTTGTGTTAAAAGTAAACAAGGATTATGCTACAGCTTGACGTTATGTGATATAGCGGCAGATAATCAGGAGCAAGAATCGTACTACGCTATGTTTCCTTATTCCAATCAACCAGGCGAAAAGGAAACCTGACTGAGTCATCGCTAATCAGTGGGCACGCGTTTGAACAATTTGACTTCGTCTCTTTTTCCATTATCATCTTACTCATCATGAAAATATTCGTTTAAAAATGTCCACTGATCAAAAAATGATCTTATTGCCTACTTAAGCAATGTGCATCGCTTTCAGTCAATCAAGACGATTAATTAGCTTACAAGTTCACTGTAAACTGCATCATTTACGATTTGGAATAATGATTGCTAATACTCAACAACAGCGTTGTGTTAGTATCCTAACTTTATACTTGCCTACCCCACTGGAGTCGTCACACGAAACATGAAGATATGCTCATATGTTTAAA